TATTTTTTTTTTAAGAATATTTTAACTTTTTGTAATAATTCTTTTTGCAAATTAAAAATAAAGATAAATTCATTTATTAATATAAATTTAGTATTACAATGTTAAATAATTAAATATTTTTCACTTGAATAAAGAAATGGCACCAGTCGCGTTTTTTTAAGGAAAACACTTCAGAAGCGAAATCCTTAATGGAAAACGCTCCAGAAGCAAAATCCTTCAAGGAAAACGCTTCGGAAGTGAAATCCTTCAAGGAAATCACTCCAGAAGCGAAATCCTTCAAGAAAAACGCTTCAGAAGCAAAATCCTTCAAGGAAAACGCTCCGGAAGTGAAATCCTTCAAGAAAAATGCTCCAGAAGCAAAATCCTTCAAGGAAAACGCTCCAGAAGCGAAATCCTTCAAGAAAAACGCTCCGAAAGTGAAATCTTTCAAGGAAAACGCTCTGAAAGTGAAATCTTTCAAGGAAAACGCTCTGGAAGTGAAATCCTTCAAGGAAAACGCTCCAGAAGTGAAATCCTTCAAGGAAATCGCTCCAGAAGTGAAATCCTTCAAGGAAAATGCTCCGGAAGCGAAATCCTTCAAGGAAAACGCACCAGAAGCGAAATCCTTAATGGAAAACGCTCCAGAAGCGAAATCCTTCAAGGAAATCGCTCCAGAAGCGAAATCCTTAATGGAAACGCTCTGGAAGTGAAATCCTTCAAGGAAATCACTCCAGAAGCGAAATCCTTCAAGGAAATCACTCCAGAAGTGAAATCCTTCAAGGAAATCGCTCCAGAAGCGAAATCCTTCAAGGAAATCGCTCCAGAAGCGAAATCCTTTAAGGAAATCGCTCCAGAAGCAAAATCCTTCAAAGAAATCGCTCCAGAAGCAAAATCCTTCAAGGAAATCACTCCAGAAGCGAAATCCTTCAAGGAAATCACTCTGAAAGTGAAATCCTTTAAGGAAATCACTCCGTAAGTAAAATCCTTCAAGAAAATCACTTCAGAAGTGAAATCCTTTAAGGAAATCGCTCCGGAAGTAAAATCCTTTAAGGAAATCGCTCTAGAAGCGAATTTCTTAATGGAAAATGCTCTGGAAGCGAAATCCTTTATGGAAAACACTCTGAAAGTGAAATCCTTTATGGAAAATGCTCCGGAAGCGAATCCTTCAAGGAAATCGCTCTAGAAACAAAATCCTTTAAGGAAATCACTCCAGAAGCGAATTCTTTTAAAGAAAATGCTCGGGAAGCAAATTCCTTAATGGAAAACGCTCCGGAAATGTTCCTCTCAAAGGAAATCATTCCGGGAACGCATCTCTTAATGAGAAACATTTCTCTCGACAGTTTTTAATTTCTAAATATAAATGCAAGCTGAACGAGCCGGCTTGCAAGCCGGCTTGGCTTGGCTTGGCTTGTCAATTGATCTCCACGATCTGAGCTGAGCTGAGCTGAAAAAAAAGTGGCTCGACTCGAGCCGGTGGTAATCCAAGCCAAGCTGGCTTATGCAGAGCTTTACTCTTCAGGCAAATTTCTAGCGAATTCATAGATTACTTCTTCCACTTTTTGATCACTTTCAAGCACCCACATGCAATTTGGATCTAATTTAGAGTATACTTCTTCAAATTTTACTAGGTTGATAAGTAACGTTTCATCTGTTGATTTCTTCTCAGTATCAGCGGAAGTATAATCGCTAGTGGAAGTTTCGTAACCATCATAGACCACATCAATAGTTGGAGTTTGACCACTTGATTTTATCTAAAACATGAGATGAAAAGGCAAACATTGCAATAAGTTATTTGTTGTTTGAAGTAATTAATAAGATTTGATGACTTTATCCCACCTTTTTTGAATCTGATGGTTCTTTAAAAGATGAAGGATGCTTGTTAAAACGTTTCTACAATAAAAAAGATTTGCAAAATTTCAAAAAATATAAATAATTAATATTCGCTCCTAAATATTTATTATAAACGATTAATGTATCAGAAGGATTAATTAACTAACCTGAGTTCTAACTCAAAGATCATTGCTAGCACTGTCGTGTTCTACAGCAATATTTGACCTCACATTATAAAAATGCTGTTCCTGTATTCAAAGTTTTTATACTGCCTAAGCATATTAAAAACATTAAAATTTTTATATTCCATTATTATACTAACTTCTTTTTCGGCAGAAATCAATTCTAATGCTTGAGTCTTTTCACGCTTCTTATTCACTTTAGTTAAAATCCAATGCCGTTCTATACCCGAACTCTTTATCATGATGTCAAAATTATGAAGCCACTCCTGTGCTTTGGATGATAGTTCATCATTTCCTACAAGATTGTCTCCAGTACTCTTTTCAAATCTTACTCTGCTTGATTGCGCTAGGAGAACGTGTAATCTAAACTTTTAAAAAACTTGACTATGCCTGATCCATTTACAAGGGTCTTCCTCAAAATGTTGGTATAATCAACCTAGTTACAAGCATAGAGAATGATTATTCCGAATTTTATAAATCAAATAGGATAATAGAAAAATGTATATATTATAGTTACCATAGTTTAATAGTTTGCTTTAATTAAGTGACCATAGAGACAGAGTCCCGTAAAATTTTTGAAAGCAATTTTTCAAAATTTTATTTTTATATAAAATTTATCATGTGACATAAAATGATTGGCTTATGATTGTGCTAGACATATGATTGCGACTCATTGTAATTATCAAATGCAAACGAACATATCCGCCGATATGTTCTAAATCAAAAAAAAATTTCCGGTCCATTTATATCCATGTGACTTGTCACCGGTATTATATCACTTATCACATCTGGAGGGCTTTGTCGATTATTTCGAGGTTAGGCGTGAAGGATATTGACTATGTATGCTCTGTACAATTGTGATTTTTTTCAAGCCTGATTACTGTAGTTTTTGCAATTAGTGAGCATGTAAAGCTTGTGTGATTTCGATCTCCCTGGTGTTGCCACCTAATTAATATTTATTTTAAAAAGAAAAAGCCACAAACTAGTGTTTCTGTAGGCATGTAAAGCCTTGCGTGGTTTTGATCTCCTTAGTTTTGCAACCGGATTTGTAAAATTTATGAACTTAAGTTACTTGCAGACAGCTACATTTAAAATGAACCTCTTCCAGATTTGTTTCTACATTAGATTTTAGAAATAAATTATCCCACCCATATCTACGAAATTTTTGTCTATCTATATCACTAACATCCACACAGACTATGTAAAATAATATTCCCCTAAAGAGAACTTTCCAGAGACTAAGTAATTTCAAACCTACAGCATAAATTCAGGGATTAGCAATTAAGATAAAAAAAATAATCAATGCAATATTTCTTATTCATACTTACCTTTACAATTCATTTTCACAATATTTCACTTCGCGTGATGATGATCAGAGATTTTCTCAGCGAAGATCAAAATTCCAAGAAGAGTAATATATCCAGTTTGTTTTAGAACATCTATAGAGGCGGGAAAATCGATTAATATCATGATAACATGTTCCAAGAAGCCAACCCGAAACATAAACCAACCTACTTTATTATTACTTTGTGGATTATACTCATTTGTTTGATTGTTGATATTGGTGATGCGTAATAATGGAAATTTGATTAATTTCGTTTGTTATTTTTATTTTACTTACGCAAGGGAGATAAAAGGATTCACTAACCGGGATATTAACCTTTTTATATAATTTGCATTGGATTTAAGATCTTTGGAAAAATTTTGTTAATACGACAAATCTGATTAACTCACTAAAAATGGAACATTAATTAGGGATTACGTGTCTTAAATGTAAATCAGGGGCATTCTTATTAATTATTCAAGATTGCGTAATGAAACATCTCTCAAAACTTTCAAGCAAAAAATCATATAAAAGCAACACTTCTTTTTTTTCGGGTTATCTACTAACTAATTTCAGCGAGGACCATATAAACCTATAACATACTGCATATATAGTATATTTTTTTACCATTTTAAGGATAAGATCCAAGATTTGATATGGAGAAGAACAAAAAGACCTTTTTCTGTAATAATCTGTCAACGTTTTGTGTAACTTTATGAATAATTATATAGTCCTTCATTACAAAATCAAAAATTCTTTCTTATATTAAATGAAAAAAAGGCTGGCTCTACAATTAATCTATTAATTTGTCCGAAGCTTTAGCTGAAGGACATATACGGTTAGACCTGCTTTTATGTATGCATATGCATGCAATGTCTATCTGCACACGTGATCCGCCAATAATATGTATTGTTGTGATATCACGTTTTACACCTTTTTTATTTTGTTATTCATATGACCAAATCCTTTTTTACAGCTATTCCGTATCACGTTATTTATTTATCATCTTCTTTTTGTCGTTACATATATTAAACTTAAATTAAAAATAAATACTGTTGCAAGCTAAATAAAAATAAAGTTATTATTTGTATCTTATATTAATCGATAGAATTATACAATAATATAGCTTTTTGTCTTTTAAGTTTTATTATTTTTTTTACTTTGCTTCGTTAAATTTTGTATTTGCTCGCCATACATAATATCTGTGAAATAGATAAATGCCTCTTTGTGATACCCTTCGAAAATGTAAAAAAGAAAAAATGAGACCTCTGAACAACGCAACCTTCGTCAAAAATGTGATAGAGAAAGAAAACGTGTTAATAAGTCGAATGAAAATGCTGAACAATGAAAAACCTGTTTAAATAAGAACCATGAAAGATGTTTTATTAATTGCAATAATCGCGAAAATCACCAGTATGATGCTTCACTCTATATTATAAATGACCAGTCAAATGCTTTGCATCATATCATTGATGACCATTATCTTCCCGATTCTGACCTAAACTTACTTCATAAATTTTGCTCTAAAATTGATAAGTTCGCTAATAATCTTTGTACTGTATGCAATAAATGTTTTCCGTCAATCGAATTTGTATGTGGTGAATGTCGTCGCTGCCACTCAGAAATTAAAGAGTTGAAAAGACTTAAATTGAATCCTGAATTGAAAAAGTTCTCATTAAGAAATAATATGGATCCGGGTGATGTACCTGAGGAACTACAAGGTTTTACTCAAATAGAAGAGATGCTTATTACCCAGATATTTCCCATCGTCTCCGTATATCGTCTGAGTGTGGCCAATACACGTATCAGAGTAATATGATTAATTTTCCTCAAGACGTTCAGAAATTCACTACACGTCTACCTCATTGTTCATCATCGCTTGATATTCTTATTGTACGTTGTCGCTCTTCTGATAGTAGAGCATTTAAAGATTTTAACGTACGTCGTTCTATGGTATTTCGTGCTCTTCACTGGTTGAAGCATAATAATCGTTACTATTCTAATATCGTCATTGATGAAGAAGTTTTGAGAGTTTTACCTGATAATGGCTCTCTTGATGATCAGATTCCTCAACTTGAAGATATAAGTGATGAAATCTCTGATGACGCAAATAATCTCGATGATTCAATGGTTAATAATTTTGTTCCCATTCCCTTTCCTACCCTAAAGAAAATACTACTATTACTGATACACTTACTCGATTACAAGCTAAAACTGAACCGACCCTGTAGCCCAATATAGATGGAATTCCAGTAAATGAATTCTAAACTCCCAGATATATTGTTCGTGCATTTCTGACCTTATACCCTACTGGAGCTACCGATCTTCGTTCAGAACACGCTAGAGATATAAAACTGGCCGAGTATTTTTTGCACTTACTCAAGTACAAAGATGGCCGATTCGCTCGTCATGCTCATTGGCGCTACTTTGCTTTGAACTCGCAAATGCGTTGGAGGACTCTGCAAGAGAAAAAGTGTATGTAAAGCAGAATTTAAATGACAGTCAGTGTACTGTTGAAGATTTACAGAAAATGCTTGAAAATGATAATCATATGGCGGATAAAATCGTACGATTTAGGGAAGGTTTGCGCAGTTCTTGTCAGTTTTGGAACAGACGTTGATCAGAACTGAAAGACATGATTAATCAATTGAGAACGAATGGCATGTTATTTTTTACCTTTAGCGCTGCCGATTTCCATTAGCCTGATCTACACAGGCTTATACCGCATGGAAATTCTCCAAGTACGTTATCTGAGCAGGAAGTGATCACCTACAGATGCCAAAACTTAATTGACAATCCTCATATTACCGCTTGGTTTTTTGAAAGACGCTTCGAACTATTTTTTGAAAAAGTACTGGTTCCTAAATAGAACCTTGAGGATTAGTGGTTTCGTTATGAGTGGCAGCACTGTGGAAGCTCTCACGTTTATGATGTAGCTAAAAGGAGAGATGCTTCTGTTATTGATTGAAAAAAAATGAAAGAGAATGAAGAATCAATGATTAATGTAATCCAATACCTGGATTCTTTAGTTACTACAATTAATCCTGATCTTGATGTGCAGATCCCTGAGCGTCATCCTTGTCAGAAACGTTCCGATGAGCTGCTATATGACAATTAGGATTATGTTGATCTAATTAACAAGCTGCAATAGCATACGCGATGTAGTGCATCTTATTGTCTTCGTATTGATCGTTCAGGACATCAATCTTGCAGATTTGGATATCTGAAAGAAATTGTTGAAAATACATACCTGTAAGATGATAATGAACAACCAGAACTAATAACTGCAAGAAATGATCTGCTTATTAATCCTCATGATCGTTTGCAGCTTCAAGATTAGCGTGCGAACGTTAACTTGAAACCTATCCTGAGCATCAAAGTTGCTTTGAATTACATTGCAAAATACGCGAGTAAATCTGAACCTCGCTCTGCTACCTTTTCAGATATGTTAATCAGAATTCTCAATAACAGTAATCCAAGTGATTCGTCTCTTGGTGTTGTTCAACGTCTACTGCTTCAAACTGTTGCAGAGCGTGATATATCCGTACAGAAAACGTACCATTTACTTCTAGGCCTCCCTTTATTGTTCCAGCCGTCAGTTTGTCTCTTTAAACCTCAATAAAAATACTTCTCAATGGTTTTGTGGATCAGGAGCATCTTACATTTTGGCAGATGAAGAAATCGGTCAGACCATGCTATCTCTTCTGCAAAAATATTGGGATTGTCCCGCTGAACTTGAGGATCTTTTGCTTTTTTAACTGTAACTGAAATATCGTTATTGTAAAGGTCACTGGAAAATATGCAAAAGTGAAAATATCGTGTGTGTCTAGCTGCATCCTTTATTTCATCGTAATAGTACACAATGGAAAGATTATTGTTGTATTAAAGTCCTACTTCATATTAGCTATCGTGATTTAAGTGTATTAACTGATGATAACAGTGCCTCCTGGCCTTATCTCTTCGATCGTTACTATGGAATAATCGAATCTGCTCCAGATTTACTTGGTCTACCTATAGACACTCTAAAAAATGATACTATTGACGATGAAAGCGATCAGGATTGTGAAGATCTAGACGATATCGAAGGAGAGATCTGCTCAGATTAGATGATCCTTTCAGAGATAAG